TAGTAATTGTTTTTCAGTAACCTAATTCAGAAGAGGGTTATTTTTTTCCCCTCTTGTAGGCTTTTCATGGTTTGAACTAAATACTAGAACTGGCAAAATGTGATGTTCTAAAAAACTTGCCTCTCAAATCAAAATCTTAATATTTTTGTGAATCTAAATTCTGGAAAAGATATCAAATTCGGTCAATTCATATTTCATGTCAATTCTGGCCTATTTTTATTCTAATTTTGCTATAAATTGACTTAAATTTCAAAATGAAAAAAAGTTAACCCACAAAATGGACCTTTGTTTCAAAGGTGTCAAAATACAATATTGACAGCGCTTAAAAAAAATGTTGAAACATTTTTATAATAAAGAGCTTTTTGAAAAAAAACCCATCATTTTCTGATTAGAGAAGTTATGTCTAAATTTTGGGTCAGCTCTAGTGAACAGTAACAGCCAGAACAAGGCAGAACACAATTCAGTTCTGCTAAAATACATCTTGCGGAGTTGTTTAATGATGACCGCTCCATGTGAAACAGACTTTGTATATACTGCAACTGAGAATGTGATTTCAGGTTTGATCCATCTAGCTTAGGCAATAACAATAGAGGCCGTACACCCGTACTAAGTTCCTTGCTATTTATCTAAGGAGTGACCAAATACTGGGCCAGACATTACACATAACTGAACAGAAACTGGTTTAAACCCACAACTGTACAGAAGCTTGGTGCACAAACTGGTTTAAAAATGGTCTAAGAGATCTGGATCAGTCTGGTATCAGACTTAATCAATTTAGGTTAGACGAGTCTATTGAACATCTGACCCAGATCCCCTCCCAATGCAAGCTAGGTCACAGTCTGCCAGCATCCCAGCCCGCTCTGCAGCCCCGTCTCCCTCTCCCCACTGCTACCCTCCCCTCACAGGGCAGAGGGCTAGCCTCAGCCAGCGCTTGGCTGCTCCTGCGCTCTCACATAGCCCTGTCTTCTGCATGGGAGCAGGAAGGGGGAACCCTACCATGCACCCCTTCCCCCAAACTGATCTAGCTCGTGTCTGGGGCAGCTGTCAGTGGAGCATGGGAGGGTGCGAGAGTGGGATGAGACAGGAGCTGCACTCAAGACACCAGTGTCCCAGGACCACCCAGTGACCCCCAGACTGACCCAGCAGGCAGATCTGCCATGTGCTGCTGAGGGTACTGAGGGCATCCAAGCCCAGCTGCAGCCATACACATGCACCCAAGACATGCTGGACAGGGCCCAGTGCTGGGCATCTCCTGGGCTGGCAGAGGCACCAGGACAGGGGCAGTTATGCCTGGGAAGCACAGAAAGCTACAGGCATGTGGGGCTGGAGCTGTCATTGATGCACACCTCCAGGGGTAGGAACAGGGCGTGGGCAAAGCAATAGGACCTGGCTCCAAGAATGCCAAGCCACTCTGTGCAGATAGTACTCTGCTGTCACCTGTCTCACGGTGCTGCCCAGGCAGCCAACTCTGCGCTGCCTTGCCCTACCCCACTGCCTACCGGGTGAGGTGCCCCACAGCTGTACCAGGGACAGTCCCCACAGGGCAGGAGCTCTGGGGTTAGTGTGCCGCTCCCTGGGGACACCCGCCCCAGCTGTGGTTCAAGTCAGCACCTTCCCCACCTGCCCACTGAGGTGACCCCACGAGAGGCACTGGCCCCTGGGTAGTGGGCATCGGGCAGGAGCCAGTGCCTCATGGGGGAACAGCTGCTACAGTGGGGTGGGGGAAGAATTGCCCATCCTAAAGCTGCTGCCCTGCATGTCACCCTGTGAGCTTGGAGATGGCCAGGAAAATGGCAGGGCAGGGCAGAGCCAACTGCCCGGGCAGTGCCAGGAGGCAGGCGGCAGCACAGAACTGTCTGCAGACTGGCTTAGCATCCTTGGAGCTAGAGCCTGAATCCTACTGCTTTTCCCCCACCCTGCTCCCATCCTCAGAGGTGTACACTGGTGACAGCCCTGGCCCCGCATGCCCGCAGCCCACTATGTTTCTCAACCACTCCTGCTCCTGTCCTGGAGCCTCTGCCAACGCAGGCCCTGTGTGGCATGTCCTGGGGACGTGTGTGTGGCTGCAGCCAGCTTGGACACCTCCAATGCCTTGCCCTCAGTAGCATGTGATGGATCTGCCTGCCAGGAGGGGGCGGCGGTGGGGGGGGGCTGTCCCAGGTCACTGGTGTCTTAAACACAGCCCTTGTCCCTCTCCCCATCCCTCCCGCCCTGCTGACAGCTGCCCCAGATCCAAGCTAGCATGGTGGAGGCCACCACTCCTCACTCCCCTCCTCCCATTGCCCAGCCCGGCTGGCCAGCACTGCCCCCTGCCAGCACATGGCTGTTGGCAGGGGGGTGGGGGAGCAGAGACAGCCTGCTTAGAGGCATTCGGGAGCACCCCCAACCTGCTGGCCTTGGCGACTGCAGGCAGTCTGCATTGGCCCTGCTCCTCAGGGCCAGTGTCTGTTCTGTTCCCTCCTGACCCAACTTTGGGCACTTACGGTAAAGCACAAAACTCTGACCACTTCTGCCTTGGGTTTTTTGAACATCTGTCCTTAGCCCAGAAGTCCATGCTGCCATATCTTCATTGCTACCACCATTCATGCCAGACAGAGTAAGGCTAGCTTGAGTATGCCTACATGTCTTGCTGTCACACTTCCTACTACAATGCAGACTTGCTTAATTGCTTGGTACCAACAAAAGTCTCCTCATTGCTTCTTTCCCAAAACACTGAGCGCCTTACTTTTCACTACAGCTTATACCTGCCCTGAAGTATGCATTAAAAACACATGTATTTGTTACCACCTGCAGCTACTACTAATCCAGGTGGCTGGGCCTTCACAGGCAGTTACCTCCTCCTGTACAGCTTTTGGGGAAATTGTAATAGGAAGTGAGAGGCAGGCTTATCTTTGGCAATCTCTCAAGTGCAAGTCACTCTTACCTCAGTTTCTGGTTCCAAATTGCTCTAGTTCCAAGCTTCTGTCTTGCAGACAAACTGTTCAGACTTGCATGCCATGAGCAAAGGGGCAGACCTGGCTGCTTTGAGATGGATAGCAAACTAAGACAGCTTGTTGTCTGAGTTTGCCTTTATTTACCAATGTGCCAATTAACCTGACATTCTGAACATTAGGACAATGTAATTCCAAGCATGTATCTTGGATTCAGACTTTTTTTCCTTTTTAAAAGAAAAAAAAATATTAAAGCCTGCTATTTAAAACCAATCAGGCTTTTTAAATCCCTGCCAAATACCTGTTTATGCCGTGAGCAAATAATTACTTTTCTACAAGGAAGAAAGTATTAATTAAAAGCATTTATCAGACTCCTGTTCTGTAGGTTTATCTGCAGGAGGTGTCAGCCAGAGGTGAGAGACGGATTAGTACACAATCGAGAGCTTTCCAAGTTAAATCTCCTCCTTGCGGTTAGATGTTAATAATGAAGTTGTCACTAAAAGAAAGAATTTAATGGTTTTAATTGGGTTTAATTACTTGGAAACTCCTGGAAAAACCAACCAGTTTGGTTGCAATATTATTAAAAGAAAAAAAAAAAAGCAATGGTTTGAAGAGAGAGAAGGTTGGGCCACATGTTTGAACAAAGACAGGTTGCGAGAATAAACTAATTCATTTGGATGCTGTATTTCATACCCTGATCAGAATGTGAGAAGGCTGCCCGGTTCACAGAGAAAAGTGGCCCCTATGGGTACATGTAGAATCTGTTTTCCTCAGTTCAAGTAGCTACATGTATTTGTATTTGGGCTTTCAAGGAGGGGAAACCCTTTAGTTCTTTTCATGGGACTTTTAAAGTGCTGAGAAAACCAGTTTGTAGAGCTATAGACCTGTGTTTCTCAAACTGGGGTATGCTTGCCACTAGGATCATACAGAGAACATCTAGAGGATGGAAAAATAGATGAAGGGAAAGGCAAATTATAAATGGAGAAAAAGAAGGAATAAGAATAAAGAAGGTTGCTGTTACAACGCGACTGGTAACACAGTACTAAATAATCCATATTGCTTCCTGGTTATACGTACACTGAATACGTGCACAACAAGGAAGCATAAACTCAAAAAAATCCAAAGAAGTTTGAAAAAAATCACTGAACTAGATGAATGTTAGTTTTAGTCTTCTGGACAGCTGCTTCCCAAGCAGTGGTGCTCTGAAAAGACAGGGAAATAGAGGAGGCTTTTCTGAAAGTGCTTAAGTGACTTCACAGCCTAGTTCTATTTTCAAAAATGACCTAGGAACCTAAACCTCATAGAAAGTAATTAAAACTTTTAAAAAAACAGGACTGGATGATTTTGAAAATAGCCCCCCAGACCTCTCACTAGTTTATATCAGACAGTTTGGAGACTGAAATAAACAGGACCATTACACATGCAATCACAGTATTTTATCTGAAAAATGATAAATTCAGATTGATTACACATGCTTTTGAGCCTGAATGAACAGCCCTAACATTCAACATGCTGTAAACTTGCCTGACAAAAGCAAACAGTAGCTAAACAAAACAAAAAAAGCCTTCATGATTTTTTTTTTCACAGTTAGCTTTGTACATACATTAAAAATGTAATATGGGAGATATCAAAAACAACACTCTTAACCCAAGTCATCAGCCAGGTACATGTTTTCCACTTATAAATTTGAAGGTAGCACAAAATTAAATCAGATGTTGAGGTGTTCTTATGGATATGTTTCACAGAGTTGTCTTGGCTCCTAAATCTCTTATCACTGTTTATAAATCTGTTTTTTCTTTGGAAATGTCTAAGCAGGGGTCAGCAGTCTATAGTCCACAGGCAGGATCTGGCCCATGGGATGATTTTTATCTGGCTCTTAAGCTGGAGAGTGCTTCTGCTGTGATCTGCATGTGCAGCCACGACTGGGTGGTTGGGAGAATCGCAGCAGTGGCTGTGGCCAGGTTGGTTGTGAATCACTGCAGCAGACCATACTGGCTCTCCCAAGTCAATGCAGAGATTGCTGTCCTGAACCTTAAAGGAAAACTGATTTCTGTTGCATTCCTTGTACAGGATTCTCGTCGTTGGAGCCCTTCCTAGCACAGCTTATTCAGTGCATGGTGGAGTCCAGGCCCACACTCTGAGCCACGGAGCAGCTTTGTAGTACTGGGCTCTTTTCATCTGGAGTTATGCTCGTTGGTTTGTCATAATATAAACACAGTGGGTGCTCCCTTAGGGCTCTCATCTGGGCCCAATGCTGCTTTCGTTAGACACATTAGTGCTCTCTCAGCTTTTTCTCACGTTGCATTATCAACTGTTTTCATTGTGATCTTGATGACAGATATTATGAAGGATCCACCCTTTCAGGATTTAAAAATTTGGGACTCTCTAATTAAGAAAAACAGTGCTTGTACCTTCTAGCTAAAGAAGAGACCTCAGTACTGCGGTATTCTGTTTCCAAACTCTGGCCGTAGAGAGAAAACCTGCTGGAACCCTGATTTCTCCTGCTTGACCAGCAGGCTCCTCAGTCCCCAAGGTTTCTGTGCCACCATCAGTATACCTCAAAAGTGGTAATATGGATATCTTAACATTGTTCAAAAGCAAGATCTGAAAAGACTCCACAGTTACTGGTGCCCTCTGAATACTGGTGGATAAGATTTTCGCACTGGAGATAATAATGTACTATGCAATTAAAACTTTGCTGCAAGGGTGAGACATTTCAAGGGCAATAGAACAAAAAATAAATCTGAAGCCGTATATTGAAGAGATGATTACATCTGCCTCATATAATTTGAGGCACATAAGAGTCATTCTATCCTTTGCCAAGTACCTGGGGCTCTGACATTCCCGTCTAAGAGCAGAATACCAGTAGGCCTCTTTGCACTGCCTTTAGACTGCAGTTTGTGGACAGCATAGTGACGCTCTAGCCACACATGGTGGCACCTATTCTAAAGATGCGTTATAAAATGTTAACTAGTTTGCAGAACCTGCCTAAGGCTTGTTCTGGGGTCCTATCATCGTGTTCTCTCCCTTGCATGCTTTTATGGGTTTCTACATAATTTCCTAATGCCTAGTGCAGAGATGTGAACAGCAGACCTTTTCCAGAAGGCAGGTGCATTTACAGTCAAATAACTTGAACAGGGAATAAAGCTTGGTCTCTTATGCTCCTGTTTCTCATGTTTATTAGGGCTGGATGAAAATATTTCCTTTGTGGGCAAAACCATCATCTCATCTGTGCTAAGGGAAAATACCTAATTTTTGCCTTGAGAGAACAAAATGAAACCTCTCTTGCTTGTTTTATTTTTGTGCTGGGGAAATAAAGTCAGTTTCTGTGGACAAAACCGTCTAATGTCTTGTTAGTCAAGCAGTACATTTGACTCAGAGTGAGCAGTAGGATATTGCTATCTTCAGGGTCACTTGGCTGACAACAGCCGTACATTAAAGTCCAGATTCAGTATACTCCACTACATGTTCTGACGCTTATTTGCATTAATCTGTCCACAAATAATGGGGACAGTGCCTTAGAGCTGTTTTGCTCTTATCAGGAGCCAGATAAAGTTTCCTCATTAAGCGGATACAGTTAGAAAAGATGGTTTGCCAGTGTCTGTTGCAAATAGATCCCTGTTCTTCTCTTAAATGTACAATTTATGCCACAGCAACAACAATTTCAGGGGAATTCAAAGGTTCTGTATGCCAAACCCATGTGGTCTACTGATCAGGAAAAAAAATCTGTACCAAAATGCAGAGGTATGCAAGACAAGGTATTTAACCCCCCAACTCCCATACTCCACAAGTGCGTAGAAGCTGAACAGTTTCAGACACTCGGATGAACCCCTCCCTTAAGTGCTTTATATGGCAATAGCTTCAAAGCTATCCTCAGGATTCATATCTGTGAATGCTGGGGTTTGATTAATGTCCCATAGGAATCAGGCCCCTAAATAGTTTTATTTCGTTGTGTTTTAAATCTGTGCAATGGTTCTTCTGTTCATCAGGAAAAATGTTTGTTAAGGCATGTGGAAGGCTTTACATCCGATGGTATCCTAACTCAACAAGTTGTTTCTCACTACCCTCACTATTTTCTGCTATGAGATAGAATATAATTGTCTTATTCAAATCCTGTCCCATGAAAAAGGGCCATGTTTTCATGATACAGTCCACTGAGGTAGAAACAGCTAGTTGTGCACAACCATGCAGAATTGTCTTTGACATATAACAATATAGTTTATCTGTGTTTACATGTGCAAGTTTGAATATCTATTTTTAATACAGGTTCCTAAATATAATAGAAGCAAACTATGTTTAATTACTTGGAGGTGCTCAGGACTACAGTCACCTCAGCTATCACTTGTCTGATAATCCAGCATCATTTATGACATGCACTTTATGTTAAAAATAATCCTTTAATACTCCTAAATGTCACATATGTGCACTATGCTTAGAAAGCCCACGGATCACCTAAGCTCTGCTACAAGAGGTTAAATTCATAAATCCTCTTCATAATGTCTCCTGCGTCCACCTTTCAAACTATGATAGGTTAGTTTTACCTGTTTGCATTGTTACTTCTTCCAGTTACCCAACCAAAACGATAGAACACCAACATTTGCTCTCAAAATACATTTTAGAAATAATCAAACAACTGGAATGATATACTCTGTATGGTTCCTCCTGTCTCCCCAGTAATGAGCCAATAATTAATATAGCAAGCATGTCTAAAGTAACAGACTTTTTTTTAATTACCTAAAATGACTGAATAGTTTTTTTATTTAACTTAAAAAGGCATTAAATACAGGATTTAGCCTGCAGTGAGTAAAAAATCTCCAACTTCCTCAGAAAATCCTTTCCAAATTGTATTCATCTTGACTTAATCCACAATCTACTGAGTGAATTAGGCTGTATTTGTTTTGAAAATCTATTTTATGGAGTTCCAAGGACTGTGTTTTCCTTAGGAAGGGCTTATTCTGCCTTTTTGACCAGGATGCCTGCTAGTAGGCCATAGCCTAGGCCTCTGCAGGTTTTTAATGTCCCAAGGTGCCCAGCACATATGACTAACAAAATGTAAATAAACACAGCTGAGCCAAGAAGAAATTGGAAGGTTTTCTCATTAAAGAAATAAAATAAACAGATGTCCTTAAGCACTTTGGCTCATGTTTGTCAAAGGAATGGAAAACTCTCAGATGTTTGAACAGCAGTAGTGATACAAGGCCACATCTTGAGCAAAAGGAGGAGGAGAAAGAAGAAAAAAAGTCCATGACACTTTGAATTAACTAATAGTCCTCAAGGGAGGGCGCTTTTGATTTGAACCTTAGCAACTTCTACAAATAGTTTTTAACTGCCTAGTAATAAAATGGGTTTTTATTTCTTCTCAGTTTGTAAAGGAGGAAAGGACAGATCCAGCCACTAAGAGCATGAATCACCATCAGTTTTGATTAAAACCCTATGGTGTTTCAAATGGGTAGTGGTTTTTTGGGCCAGTGTAAGAATACAGCAATGTACACAGCTGTTTCAGGCATAAAGGACTGTGATTTAAAAAAAAAAGGTATCAAGTACGGTTGATCAAAATTTTTTTCAATGAAAGATTTCAACTAAAGTCCACTGAAACAAGCTTTCTGCAGGAGCATCAATTCTACTGTCTCTTCTGTTGAGGTAGGTCTAGGATGGAATTTCTGGTCAAAATGAAAGCAACAGCAAGGACTTGAACTGGGCAGAGTAGAGACTCAAACCCAAGACTCCTAAGTCACAGGCAAGTGCCCTAACCACCAGGCTATTTATTATCTTACAGTAGGTCATATTATATTTTTCACAAAACTCATCCTGATAGGAAAGCACGTGTTGCAACCTCAACATTTCATGAAACTGATTTCTTGTTTTCTAGTTTTTTCAAGTGTTATGGAGTTGGGAATCCAATTCCCCTTGAAAGACAGCGCAATTAAGCATCCGTTTTCCAAGGCCCCTTTAAAATCTTAGCCTAAAGCAACTGTTGAAGCAGAAAAATTGTAAAGGCAAATCAAGGTCCACAAAGGGCAGGGAGAATACAAACAGACTACAACAACTCTGATCCAGCTACAGATTCAGATTTTTTTTTTCTTGAGCAAATTCCCATCTGATGCATAGCAACAGCTGTGGACCCAATCAGTCTTTAATAGTCTTAAAAACAAGTGTTTTTTAAGGCTCTACGTATGCATTTGGAGGATATGTCCTCATTTGTGGCATCACTGTTACTGCACTAATGTGAACCTGTGGTTTGGAAAGGCAAAGTGAGTACTGGCAACAGTGCGGCTTACACCTGCTTGAGGGAAATTCCACAGTGTTTCCTTGTCTCTTGAAGTGTTCGCACTAGTAGTTGACTGGATTGGAGAGAATCCCCTGGGCAGACAAGGCTGGAGAAGATATACTCAGTACCAGAGATAGTCAACTTTGAATGAAGATTCAGAAAATTAATCTCAGACCATAAGTTTTCCTAAGTTTATTTGAAAATTTAGGCAAAATGTGCTCCCTCTGCTACTAATTTCTGTTAAATTTGTGTCAATTTAAGGTGTTGACTACATCTTGCATTCAGTTTTGCAGATCAAACCCTATTTTGTATTAGATAATATTGAATGTTTGATAAAGATGCAACAAAATTTCAGAATTCCATGTTCTGATAGCAACACGAGCAGTCTTCTGAAATGTTCAGTTTTGTAATTCAGTGTTAAAATCCTTTTCATTTGTTTCCAAAAATTGTAATAGGAAAAATGACAATACTTAAGTTTGATTTAGTCATTATTTTTATATTACAATAGAGTAAGCGGTACCAACTGAAAACAGTACCATAATTCTAGGTGAAAAAGATAAAATTCCACTACTATGAAGAACCTACAGTCTAAATATACATGAACAAAAAGAGCATTGGAGAAAAAGCATCAGTATCTTCTGTAATATATTAGCAACACAAAAAATATTTAGTACCTTTTTGTTTCTACCATACATGAAAACATGTTAGACTGAATCTGTCAAACACAGCTTTTCACTGCTAATGAGGAGGGGTGCCAAAGAGAACGCTAACAACTAGAATGCGGGAGTCAAAACAAAAGTCCGCTGACTTGTAAGATTGTGATAATTAGAAAGAATTCATTTAACAGTTTCCCAAAGTGTGTAATGGGGAAGGAGAAGGTCGCTGTCTCTTTTACCATGTATTATGATAGGTTAAGAGGATCTTAGGTGGCATGTCCTGCCTTTGTTGAGCTATTTGAAGCCAGAAGGCAGAATGAAGGGCCAAACCCAGTTGTGCCAGAAGCCAGTAGTGCATAATTCTCCTTTCCAATACCACTGCATCTGACTCAGCCCAAACTCCAGTACTGCTGCAGTTTTGACTCCCTTATTTCCCTTTGTGATTTCTTCAGAGGCTTGTTTTGGTGCACTGCTCTTTGCAGATATAGTAAAGGCTCCAGTCTATTTCTACTGCATGAGAGATCACATTAACATGTACCTGAAGGGATGAGAAAGGCTGGGTGGACAGCATATGGCTCCAGAATCTTCTTTTACCCCCTTCTACATTGAAGCACCTCCAACTGAGACATTAGGGGCTGGGGAGGTTTTCTCCAGCCTGCCAGCTTCTCTGCCACGTTCAGGCACGATAAAAACTCCCTTTGTATGTCCCTGATAGTATGCTTCTGTTTTGAGGGTTAATCCAGCTCATAATTGGAACAGAAGCAGTATATCCCCCAAATCACAGGCGGGGCAGTTTGATGGGGAACTGCACCTTCAGTTCCTGTATATAGGGCAATTGTTTAGGGTCACCTGGTGACCATTCATAATGCAGACACATAATGCATACTCTGAGCATGAGGACAAAGAAGAGTGCATTGTACTGGCAATGTTACCTCTCTGATGCCAGCCCCAACCTCTTGGCACCTATGTATAAAAAGAAGCACTGGCAGTACCTCATCGCCAGGAATCCTGGTTTTCTCTGATTAAAAAAAATCCCCAATTTCCAGATATAAAAAAGTAACCCAAAATCCACATTTTTCCATGATTAAAATGAAACATCACTATATACATATCTATATATTAATGGTGTTTCATTTTAATCACGGAAAAATGTGGATTTTGGGTTACATTTTTTTATCTGAAAATTGGGGATTTTTTTTATTTTTTTTTTAATCGGAGAAAACCAGGATCCCTGCTCATTACACCTAATGACATTTTATTTGTGAAAAAATAATACCTGGACAAAAAAGTAAACGGAGATCTGGAGTTCACTAGCCAGACTGGTTACCCACAGATCGTTTATTTTGCAGGAACTACACTGTAAAACCATTAAGATGAAATATAAAGAGACTATATAGCACAGTCCACTGGCCAGGACAAAGGACCAAGGCATAAGGTGCTACTACAGTGGTTCTCAACCTTTTTAGACTCAAGGCACACCTCAAAAATGCCAGCTCTTAGCTTTCATTCATTTTTTCACTATGGAAAAAGAATAATAGAGCAATTATTCTGTTGCAAAAAACTCAAAAAGACCACAACAGTGCAGAAACATTTTTGGCACTGTAGACTCCTATTTAAAATCTCTGGGTTTATCTTGTGAATCATGTATAGGCGTTTGCACAGCTAACAGTGCTAATCATGCTGCAACACCCTTAAAAGGATTTCATGGCACCTGGTTGAGAGGAACTGGGTAAATAGCAAGAGCCTACATCTGTACTTTAACCCATACTTTGGGCTAGGCTACACCTAAGTTTTAGGAGCTTAGCTTTGGGAATGGAATTCACAAGGCCAAGCAGATAGTGGCCATGCATATGGGGTGTACAGGGGTGCACGTGCACGCCAAGAGCGCTGGTGCACCCCTGGCAGCCAGTGTTCCCCACTCAGGCAACAGGTGAGGGGAGTGCTGGTGTGCCCCCCTCTCCCCCCGAGAGTGCTGGTCAGGGAGTGGAGGCACCAGGAGAAGCGCCGCTGGCACTTCCGGGTCAGCACTCATGACCAGCTGGGGGTAACCCCGCTTTGGTTGGTGTGATCGGCTGCGGGACACACCCCTCCCTGCCCCATCACTGCTGACTGGCTGCGGGGCGGGGGGGCAAGTAGTGACATGCAAGTAGATGTAGAAGTTACTTATACAGTGACTGTCTTTAGGCAAGGCTGGGTTGGAGTCTTTCCACCCACTGTTGGAGCTACAGCATTATAAAGGAATGGAAGAGTATTGGGGCCAGAGAAGCTAAGTAAGGGGGACTGTGACTCACCTTTCTCCAGTACTGCTCTTTCCCCAACCATCCCCTCTTCCCATCCACTTGCACACTTCTTTTGCCAAGACAGAACAGGAAATCTTCATCAACTATTAATAGCCAAACTCAGTCCCAAGTGTGATTGCACAGCAGGCCTATTCTGCATAAGTTTATTTTTCCTTATCCTGCCTGTTCCTTTTCTATTTTTTACATACAAGGCGAGAGTTTACACAATGTCTGCTGCAAACTGTCTCATTCATTATGTTCAGTAGGAAAAGTAACCATTTAAATTATTTTGTACAACATAGGCCTGAACAAATCCCTGCTTGGAAATGTGTGCTTGATTTTCAGAGGGTGCTGTTAAAAGTGTTAGTGGTATTCCACATGCTGCAGTGGATTTCTGCACCACAAACACCATTTTATATCCTTTACAACGGTGCACATCTAACAGTGGACAATAAATCTCTCTCGCTAATTACACATCCAGCTTGTTATAACCATCATAAAACAACTACAGCTGGTAAAGCCATAAAATGATGTCAAATCATATTTCTGCTTGCTAAAGAGAAGCAGGATTATTTTCCAATCTCTTCACGAAGCTGCAGTGTTTAAAGCTATGTGCAGAAACAGCTGCCAAATAGGTCATCAACCTTAAATTAGGTAATGGTATTGTCTTTATTCCTCCTCATTTAAAAATGTTTGGCATGATGTAACTCAAAGTGATCAAACAATTATAAATAAGGGAACTGCCATATACATAAAAACCCACAAAATTCTAAATACAAGTACCATTTTTTCAGAATTCCACAGCAGCCAAGTTCAACTACTTCAAAGTTTCCTCTAACACTTACAGAACGGATTCCTTACATACATGACATAATCAGTTCGGGGGACAGATTTTCCAAGGTATTTAGGTACCTAATAAAGCAGACAAGTAGTTAGTATGCCAAGGGTGAAAATACTACCAGGTTCTTTAATGCCTTAAAAAAATATCTGGTCTCAGTTGGCTATTTAAGGTAAACGGTTGGAAGATGCACTGCTGTATGTGGGTTGGCCAAAGGAAAAGATCTCTTGAGAAAACCCCCAATATATCTATCTGTCTATCTCTGTGATTCTTATGAAAACAATAGACCAACCGAAAAACATTACCTTGTTCAGGCTAGACATACTATTTCCCGCCTGGTGGATAAGCTGTTTTTCCTAGGAGACGTGTCTTTGAAAGAACAACAGCTCAGTGTCCTGTCTAGTAGCAACTGAACAATATAAGCTTTTGAAGAAAACGGTCTACACACAATATGATGGGGAACCTAAATTAAATTTTCACATGTTTGAGGGAAATACTACAAGACTTATAGTACAAAATTTGTCTGAGCATAACAGGAGCATCTGTTTGAAAAGATGCCTTGTTAACAGCCCCCCACAATACCCATTGCAATTTGACTGGACAAACAGTAATGTTAAAAGAGATTATTTAAAATTTTACCTTCCCATATCTGGATGCGAAGGTTCCCGTGAGCAAGGAGTGAAAAATAATTATCGTCTCGTCCAAATCCCACACAAACACACGCTGTAATGAAAGATAAGGGTGGGAGTGAAAGAGAGACAAATACATCCATACATTAAGTGTTTGCAGGACTGCATGCAATTAGGAAAAGATTTTACTTGGATATATCTTTTAATGGTAAAAAAAACCAAAAACCTACTTCAATCAGCGATGCCTCTTTAAAGTTGGTAAAAATAAAAAAAGAAGAATCAGTTCTTAGAAAGGCTCACAGGAATATCAGTTCTGTTGGTCTGCTGCCCCAGCATGCATGGAAATATCAATGACTTAACTTACCAGGAGAACAGAACAACACAATCGAAAGATGTTAAAGTGCAGAGAACAGAATTTTGTCCACAGATTTTTTTTTTTTAAACTGACTAACTATGGTTATAGATCCAAATGTCTAGCTAATATCATTTTTGCTCTGATCATTCTCTAGTGAATTATTTGCAAATCAGTGCCATGGTTTTTCATGGCTGGATTTATTAACAAACAAGGAATTAGCACGGTTACCTCAATCTCACTGTCAGCAGTGGGGGAAGGATCATTGCTTCTTTTTGATCGGCCTCGTACCTTTCCGTCAGATGCTCGGTGCTGCCTGTCGGCTTCTATATCTTTTACTGGTGTTGCTGCATATTCCCCTGTTGTGAGAAAAGGCATGCCAGTAAAAGCCTAAGTTTCACTATCTATTCCCCTTCACAAGTGTTTCTTTTAATACAAGAAAACGATATTAAGGCAAAGGTATGACAGATGGAATAACACCGATTCACGGAAAGTCTCTCAAGATGCTGCACCTTCACACACTGCAGTCTCAGGTGGGAAAATATGCCCCTCCACGTACTCACCCAGTGCAATGCGCAGAATTCCGAAACCTGGCCTACACATTAAGAATTTCACCAACTAGGTATGTTCAGAAAGGGAGTAAGCCTTTCTGAAACATGTGCATTAGGCTGGCTGCAAATGGATTTTGCCTGCTATAAAAAAAAATCTGGCAGCATAAAACCGAAATGAACAGACTTCTTTGCCCTTTATTATGCCACAAACACCCACATTTGTGAGCACAAGGATTCCTAGTCACTGTTTGTGGCGCCTTTTTGTGGCCAACATCTCTTTGCTTATGGTGGCAGAATGCAGGCAGCCCAGGGCTTTCTCTGCTCTTCAGCCACCCCAGGCAGGCATTTCCAAGGTTTCAGAAACCCAATCCTATATGCCTTTAAGGAGATTTCTGGGGCATGCACTTTTCACT